ACCAAAGATGAAGAACCTACCAAAGTGCTCAAGGTTTAACAATCTGCTTTAAAAGGAAACATTTTCTCCTGACAACTGTACAGATGTGTCTTCTTGAATTTGTGTGTGACACCCAGGTTATAAACCCAATGAAAAGGCATCTCTTCTCCAAAGGAGGTGTGTGAAAGTTTTCTTCTATGTCATTTCAAAATGAATTTACTTTAATCAAGCTTTAATATCAGAGGGAAAGAACAGCCATCTTATAACATGACTGGATCTTCATGTAATGTGCTTAAAAGCCCTTAGCATATTTTATTTATCTTCTCCAACTTCTTTAATTACAAATGGGTTTAAAATAATCTGTTTAAATACATCCAGTGTCATAAGCCTGCTACATGACACTGTCCTTTTATACGATCCAGATATCCTTTTTCTGCCATTACAAATAATTATAGTTTGCTCACAAAAAGAGAAAAAAGGTTCACCAGAAAAAATGAAAACATTTAGAGCTTTGGCATAAAACAACATTCACTCCGTATTCTGTACAGTACCTGCAACCATTAACATTTATCTTTATTCTTTTATGTTTATACCACCAAGAGCTTTGTGAGTGGAGCAGGGTGTGATCTGCACATTGTGAGATTCTGGGATATGAAGGATGATGTCCTGTTTATGTTGAGTATTGTTAAGAGGGAGGTTATACATCCTGTCCCTTCTCTAAACTTACATATCTTTTCTACAGTGATTTCCCCTAAACTTCAGTATTTGTAAGACCCTGCTATGTGTCTAAATATACCCCATATTTATTTCTTTGCGAAGTTCTGGCTAAATTTGATTTTTTTATTACTTAATTTGGTCTTTATTTCTGTTTTTTTTTTTTACTTTTTTGGCTTCAGATCTCAACCTCCATGTGGTTTATGACAGTTGCAGACCATTGTGACAATGTGTTTCAAACAAATATTATCCAAATCCTGGCCATTTTCTCATCATTCAGGGGAAACTGAAGTTCAGCAAAACAGCAGAATTAGTCCTTTCTGCTCTCACCTTCTCTTTCCAAATACTGGCAAGCTTTGTTTTAGCAACGGTCCTTCCCAAATCATTCATTGCTATCACTTCATAAAACTGTCTAAATACTAAACTTATGTGACACCCCCTTGTATGTTTTATATACAATATGCTGCCTAATAGTATCACATAACTCAGTTCAAATACTAAAATTGGTGCAATCTGAATTAAAGTTGTGTGTCTCTACTTAAGAAACAGTTCTTTTCATTACAGTTCAATTACTGTGTAGTACAATTACAGTCTGAAAAGTGCGTAAAAGTGATCACCATTTCTTATGCAAAGATTTACCTTACCTTTTAGTTTAAATAGCATGATGAGGCACAAATGAAACAAATATGTTTCAGACATAAAGAGAAAATGTTTTTAGAATCAAAGAAACCATCTTATAACACAAAATATTACATTAGTTAAATGTTTCATAGCGTGAGTAGCTACTTGTATAATACTACTACTACTAATCATTATTTTTTTTAAATTATACCGGATATCTCTAAGAATGTAAAGCGTAGATTTAAGCCAATCAACACAGGTTTAATACTACATACAGTAATACTTTGGTTAGTAATATGCTTAAGACAGAATTGCTTTATGTTCTTCCATGTTCTTCCACTGCAATATTGTAGACAAATCTTCATTTGGGGTTCAAACATCCATCTCGGCATGTGTGTTTAATAAGATCTTCACAGTAATAACTGATGGCTTCAATCAGTTAACATCAACCAACCTTTGAACTACAGAGCTTATAGTCAAATATGGAAACCCAATTAAAAATGGCTGAAATTTTATGGGTCAAAAAGGTAAACAAATAATTTATGAAATACATAAACATATAAGATTATCATATAAAAAATAAATCACATATGGCTCTGTTCCAAAACTTGTTTATAGAAACAAAAAATCATACCTAGAACATCAGGTCACATAGTACAGTATACACACCATAGTTTATTTATAATAGAATTTCTTATCCATTAAATGTAAACAGTATGTTCTAATAGCAGAACTTTAACAAATCAATTTTAACAAATCTAAAGTCCTTAAAGTCATCAATATGACTTTAATGACAAGAATGTATACCAGACAGGTGGGTGTTCTTCAAGAGTAAAATCAATAATGAATATAATACATATTTTCACGTCATTTTCTCATTGATCAAATTTGAACTCTAGGTGGTTTGAACAATTAGTTTACTCTATTGACACAATACATGGCATTCATTATTACCATGTTTTATAGTTCCTATATAAGATTGCCATTTGTGGAAATAACGTGGCATTGGTATTGTTGTCAAAAACTTGTTATAGCTATCAAAAGCAATGATCAATTACCTTTGTGTCCAGTTGTCTCACATTGACCCAACTGTAACACAGCAGCAGATCACAAAGACTACAATTTACAGTCTACTAAATTTAGAAGCCATCAATGTATTTGGAAAAACTAAATCCTTGTTTTTGGATGGGGCTGGGGCAAAACATAATGGTATTTTAACATATCACATATTAACTGTGTAAAGCAGAACTTCAGGTTCTCCTGACATATGCCTCCGTCACATGTCATGAGATCATGAAAAGTATATACCACACTATCCAGTACATACAGTTATAACACCACTGTACTGTTTGGCATTTTTTAACTTGTTGTCACCATGAACATTTTGCAGAATAACTATTCTTTCAATATTTTGAAATTACACCTTTTGAAAGCAAATTGACGTTTTGCAAATTAACTGATATAAAACGTGCAACACAACGCTAGATTCACAAAATATTGAACGAAGCCACCACGAGGTAACGTGGAAGGTGACAATTAAAGTAATTTCATGATTGCAGCATTGTAAATTTCAGATGTAATCGCAGTGTTTGTGGAAAAGTGTGGAAAAACGGATTCCAAACAACTTACTCGAAAGCTTTTTCAAACAATTCTATGATCGAAAACGGATCTAGAAATGAACTGACACGCAATCTCAGCTTTTAAGGCAATTAATAGACTCGATAATAATTTTATCTGACTTTCTGTGTGTGTATATACTATATGTACTGATTGTATGCTTTAGTACCTGTGAACAAAAAGGCCTACTGCGTTTACCATAGGTTAAATGGATTAATTTAACTTCATTGACCTTACTCGATAATACATTTTAAGCGCCCTTCTTTGAAATTCTATTTAAAAAGGAGATTATGGACATCTTCCGAAACACCTTTATTCTCTTTTAAACTCTTTAAACAAGTCCTGCTGATTTTCTAATTAGCGCCCGAGCATTGAGGGTTTAAAGCGAAGTAAATTAGCAAAGACAAATCTTGTTGCAACTCATTATTACCATAATGTAATGGTCTTTTAACTGCTTAACATGGTAATTTATTTGGGTAACTGTCAACATCAGTGAGACGAGGATAAATACGTTAGAAGTCACCATATTATAGCAGACCGTTTTAAATGTACAGTGATGTAATGCATAAATCTCATTGATAATTTTAAAGAAAAATAGCTAACCATTAATTTCAAATGAAAATACTTGAAACAAGTAATTTTGTTTGCTAGACACGGGTTAAGGTCGATTTGATTAATTTTAGAGTGATCGAATAAGAATTTTCGTACTAAAAAAAAGACAATGGTACGAAGTTAAAAACGTGTAACATTGATCCATTTCAGTCCGCTTTTCATAGTGAGTGTTGCCGATGCAAGTGTATCGTGGACAAAATCCGACTTCAAAAAACTACTCGGCTTTTCAGACTGGAGTTAAGAAGCATTTATTAACCCCCTCGCCGTGTGCTTTTATGAGGGGACGTGTTAGAACTATTAGCTCACAAACTCTTCTCACCAAGTCCATTTGTGGATTCCTGTGTTTTAAGAAGATGTGCCTTCAATCACGTAAAAAAAGACAGTGACAGCTATTTGGTAAAAAGCTGTAATAAGTTCGCGTTCCTAAAAAGATGAAGAAATCTGCATTTTCATTACTGTCATCATAAAGTCAAGCGGATACGTAATACTTAATCAAAGCATAATTGAACGAATCTGAATCTTACACTGAAAAACGTATTTCCCTCTTTTCTTCTTCACACTGCATTTCAGAATCCCCCGCATCCTTTTAAAGATGGAAACAATTAGGTAGGTTTCAGTACCTGCCTCTTCCCAGAAGCGGCAGTAAGTCATTTCCTTTTCGTTTTGCTGCATACCAGCTCAAATAAATCATAAGCTGTTCATAGTTCAGCCTTTAAAAATACTGTCTGGGGGTCTCAGCAGCTATTAAGAAGCAATTCTTAGGTATTTACATAGAATTAACCTTGAGAGAATGACAGTGATGAGCGAAAACAGAGTCTTTAACATATGTTGTTTCGTGAAAATTGAGATTTTATATATGGCTTTAAAATGTTGTTTTTTTTCACTACTGAACCATGAAAACACGCAACGATCTTGTCCAAGACAAATCTCACCTTTTATCTCGTGACTACAGTAAATGTGTTCCAGTGCATACCTACAATTTAGTGAACGGAAATACTAAAAAATAAATTGCATTGAAGCTTCGGGATCCCCTTAATAGACGCATAGCTAAAACATTGTCTACTACAAATGTGCATTGTGATGCAACTTCTGTGAATTACACTTTTATCTTATTTATGTATATACAGAATAGCGCGACTCGCAGCACCCGTCCTGTAGTCCATTATCAGAAATACGCTTTTAGGGGCTAAACATTTTTTTAGGCAGCGACCTAAATATTATTTAAAATGTGGATGTGTGGTGGGGGAAGGGGACGTGCGTTCTGCTACAAAATGAGCTAAACATGTACTTTGTTGCTGCAATCAGGTAGCACATTTGGGAAGGGAGGAGTAAAGTTGAACAAAAAAATGTCAAGCCCTGTCTTGCTGATTGGCTAATTGAGCTCTTTGATTGACTTTCGACTACCAAAAGGCGCTGACGCTCTCCGATTGGACGGTGCGCACTTCACAAGCCCCTCTTCTGCTTGGACAGCGTGCATTTTTCGCAATGCTACCTAGCCGAGCGGTAGTTTGACTTCAGAGGAGGGAAAGCAAGCGTAGCAGCCGCAGTAGCAGCGCAAAGGTTCTCATTTTAGGTTGCGAGACAGCGGCTTGAGCTTTGATGCTGGGGATCTGTCATTAAGATTTAGTCAGCAAACACAACAGCTGGGGCTATCAGTTTATACAATCAAGCTGTTTTAACGTATTATACATAAAGGTTTTTTTTTTTAAAGAATTGTGCCTCCCCTTAGAATGAAGTGCTTTTTCACCTTGCCGTTGTGGAGCCTCATGTCTTTGGCTTTAATTATTTTATTGGTGCCTGTTACTGGGGCTTCTGAATATGAATACCTGAGCTGGAAGTCGGATCAGTACCCCACGGGGCGCATCTATGGCAAGCCCCCACAGTGTGTGGACATTCCTGATGACCTGAAGCTCTGCCACAATGTGGGCTACAACCAGATGCTCCTGCCTAACCTCCTGGAACATGAGACCATGGCAGAGGTGAGGCAGCAGGCCGGCAGCTGGGTGCCTCTGGTGCACAAAAACTGCCACCCAGGCACCCAAGTCTTCCTGTGCTCCCTATTTGCCCCTGTCTGCCTGGATCGCCCCATTTACCCCTGTCGCTGGCTGTGCGAGGCTGTGAGGGATGGCTGTACCCCCATCATGGAGGCGTTTGGCTTCCCTTGGCCAGAGATGCTTACCTGCGACAAGTTCCCCCAAGATGATGTCTGCATCGCCATGAGCAACAATACAGAACCCGCCAAAACCCAAGGTAAAAGATGATCTTTTAATTCTTTGTTTTTCCCTACATAGTGCATGAAGGTGAGTCTGTTGCAAATGCCCATGAAATGATTCAGTGTAAAAACTAAACCTGTCCTTTTGTCACTTAACCATTTAGTTGTCAGCTATAGAAAGGAGAATAATTGAAGAGATCTGTGAGATCTCAGTTGTCACTTTTCTTATTTGAGCTATTCAGTGTTTTGTTTTTCTGTTAATGCTTTGAATAAATGCAGGTCATACTTTTCTACTAAAAATAAACAATATGGATTTTTTTTCTTTAGTAATTTTAATAGAAAGCAGAAACAGACTGTATCCTTTCTAGATCTCCAGTTTACCATTTGTGTAAATTAGACCTTTATATCCTAAAAATATAATGATGCAAACTGCAATCAGATAGTCTTTGCTATTGTATTATTTTCAGGTAGTGATAATTTATTGCACAATCCTTTCTGCACATGAGCATTTAATTAGTATTAGGTAAGGTTTTAACACCTTAACAAGAAGAAACATAAGGTGTGTCTGAAGAGTGTTTTCAGTCACTCAAAACAAAGAAGAGAGGCTACTTTTACTATTTCATCTAGTACGCAAACAAAGCAAAGGAATTTTCCAAAGGAGAAAGAGCAGATCACAAGTTACTGTAAATACGTATAGTTCATCTGGATGATGATGATGATGAATATTATTCTTAATTGTCCTTGTTTTGTTCTTATGTTTATGTTTTAAATATGAATTCCTCAATTTTTGTCTTGCACTATGGACTTCTATGCTGAACATCCTCAACTCTTCTTTAAACCACATGTTTTATTTTTCAAAAGCGTGGTTAAGGAAGAGAAATCTTAAACTTAGTTCATTTGCTCCAGATTACATGAATCATTTGAGCAAAATAAGAAATTTCAATTTTAAAAAACATTAAAATGGTTTGGCATGCACTGTATGCATGTGTCTGTGATTTACTTTCATGATTAAGCCTTCATTCTTCGAAAGCACTCTTAAGTCATGTACTCTTAACTGCTATGTTTTGGTAAAAATGCTAGTGGGGGGTTATCTTAGTGTTACATTTTTTTAAAGTTACTATTAATTCATGTATTTTTTTTCTGTTAAGGGTCTTGCACTGCTCAATTATACTAATTGCCTGTAATTCCAAATAAACATAAAATAATAGGTATAATTAAGCTTTAACTTAAACTGGTTTTAATAAACTAAGAAGCTTTGTTTCCTAACCCATTGACAGAAGAAGCTGCACATGGTGTTTAAAAGCAGTCAGCATCTTTGGCAAATTCTAAATGTCCTTCCTTTATTAAGTCTGCAAATGTAATTGCAGGTTCACGACTAACCTTGGAGTCCTCCCCCCATAACTTTTTTTCCTGATTCTAGAGAGAATCATTGGATTACATAAATGCATCTTTTGTTAAAGGGTTTAAGGCTGCATATTATAGCTGAATGGCTTCTCTCTTCTGGAGCACATACTTTTGGCTTCCTTTTTCAAGGATGGATTGACAGTGGGTTGTCTTTTACTATTCTGAATAGTAAAAAATAGAATCTGAAAACTTCTGGTTAACCATACACATTTAAATTTATCATAGAAGTATATTATTTTTATATACACACTCCTATAGAGGCATGTTACATCTAGGCTGCTTTTGAACTGGAATTCATAGCTATTCTTTACTGTTTTATTCAGTGCTCAAATCATAAACATTTACTGGTTTGCAGTCTCTCCAGCTTTCAACAATTACTTGTGCAGAAATCAAAAGACACTGGTTTACAGAGGGCCATTTTCCCAACAGAGAATATAAAATATTAGATTATCTGTCATAAATCCAAAGGGAATTTTCAAATGTGAAGTAAATAAATACCATTATCAGGATCATTATCCCTCCATAAAATGGGTCATTGCTGCAATTTTGTAATACTTGTCATGATGATTGACCAGCAACTTCTGTTACTGGAGGTAAAAGCAGTTGTTGAATCCAATGCAATGAATTAGATGAGAAGTACTTAGTCTGTACATACACACAAGGGGATACACAGTCTGTATGTGTTAGTATGTCGGTAAATTTAAAATATATTTTGTGTAATTGAACATACAGTAACTGACTAAATTTGTATGAACTGTGAGAACATTTTCCATAACAAAGTCCTGTTTAATTAAATCAGCCCCCATTGATATCTTTGTCAATAAAATCATTTCGAAAATGTAAAATAATTAAGTTGGAAAAGATTTGTGGTATTAATACTCACGTAACACTTGTTCTAACTGTAATTTGAAATTTGTATACTTTTTTAAAACTGTCTGTAACTGCTTTTACTGAATTATGTCTTTTGACCTTTGAGACTTACATAGAGTTGGAACACTAAAATCGGCACATCTAGATTTTGGTAACTGAAAAATATGAAATATTTAAATGACAAGGTTTTAAATGTATAAATTACAATTTCTCAAATATACTTATCAAATGTACTTTGCGTGTTCTGAAACGATTTTTTTACGCTTTGCACAGCTATAAAAATAAGACTAATGTCAGTGACCATAAAACAACACATCTTCAAGAGGAAAAAGCAAAGTGTTGTTTTCACAGTTCTAAAAATGAGCACTACATTCTGCATAAATACTGTACATGAGGGAACTGGTTAAAGATTGAAAGAAGCTGTTTTTTCAAACTTAACAATACTTTTGCAGAAATTAAATTTCCAAGCAAAAAATTGCATATTCTTCCAATATTGTGCCTAGGAGCATTGATAAACACTTCAGTTTTAATTTCCGTTTCTGTCTGCTCTTGACATCAATCAGCCCTCATCTGGGGATCCCATAATGTGGTTTAAAACAAAGGAATGATAATGTTAAACACTAATTTAAAAGCAAGGGAAGCTTTATGAGTAGTCTGAAAGAATTGCAGTTGTACACTAGTTTTAAAAGGTGATGCAGTAAGCTTTCAAGATGAATTGCCTCAATTATTTAAAATGCAAACAGTGTGACTGGAAATCTTGTACTACAGTCTGATTGTTGTCAGAAATGTTGTTTGTGCTGCTAAAGGTGTCTGTAGAGATGTAATGCATTTCCTACTTTTCAGGGAGTTGGCTCCTTGCATTCTCCGTGGGTAAAAATCTTTTATTTTTGATAAATATTAATTTTTGCAGGTCATATATGATTATAATTAAAGATTTTCTTCTTCAGCTGCTTTCAAATGAAAAACGTTGGATTCCTACAGAGTTAGAGGATGATAACACTTTTGGTTTTTCTGACTAAAAAGTACAATGATGAGAGTAGAAATGACATGCTATAGACATTCCGTGGTCATAAGAAGTCAATTCTTTGATCAATTAGGACTGTACAATATAATCTAGGTAAAAATAAGAATTGAGAAGACATGGTAAATAAAAACAAGTACCAACAACTGTAAGTTGTCTTTACATAATGTGTGCAAAACATCTGAATGAATGAATGCCAACATCTATTCAGCCAATGAAATAAGCTTTGCTTTAAAGCTTGTTGTCTTGTAAGCAGTTCTTGTCAGTTGCAGTGATATTCTGATATGGCTGTTAAGTTTCTGTAATGAATTGTATTGAGATAAGGAAATGCATGCTGTTGTGCGCATTTAAAGTTTCTGTGTTCTTGGAAGGGGTTCGTAGTCCTGGTTTTTAGTCTACTGCAGAGTTAGTCAAAAATTCTGGTCCCAAGTATATTTTGGCACAGAGCCCCAAAATAACTCACAGCAGCTTAGACAAGCCGAATTTGCAGACGACCACACAGCATTCCTGTTACAGGATGACACCTGTTCTCCTGTCTTATCAGTTCTTGTAAAATGCTTTAAAATTTGTTTGGCTGTGGTACAAATCATCCAAGGATTAAGTTTTCTCAACTATAGTTGAGTGGGCTTTTTTCAAAGTTTTTGTCTCCAGTAAAAATTTGCATGCAATTATCTGACAACAGCTGTTGTGCAAATCTAGCAAGAGGCAGCAGGAGTATGGATAAAATAAGTCTTGTGTTTTAGAATTTTTCCAAAACCTAGTATAAAGATTGGAAAAGTGAATAATTTTGAAATTGGTTCTGTAAATCCTTTTATAACCACAAAAGTCACAGTATGTTCTTAGTGTACCACTCTAGTTCCTGATTTCATTTACTTCTTGTTTAGTCTGAATTTAATGGATTATGACCCAAACAATGGAACAATCTGTACTTTACCTGTGTATTTACACTTAAAATTGTCATAGCTCATTTTCTTTAATAATAGATATATGTGATTTATACTTTAAAAATCACATTGAAATGAATGAATGAAATCCTGTCGTACTACCACCAAAAAAGCTGCCACTCAATTAAAAGAGCAGGATTTTGCTGTGGTTTACTATGAAAAGTTCTGATTTAGAAGTTGAGAGTAAGGTTGTGTAAAAGCACTTCTGGGTATATAGAGTTCTGTGACCCAGTTCCCTGGGACATGAAGTTGTAGAAGTGCTTGAGAATGTGTGGAAAATTGCAAGTAAGTGGGCAATATATAAAGTAAGAGTCATGCATCGTTTTCCTTTTTTTCATGCTGCAATCAAGCAAGGATTTTAGACCGCATTAACATAGTGGTTTTCATTTCTCTGCTGCTGCCAACCTGATTCCCTTTCATAACGGTGAAGTCCATACAATGATGTTACTTTGACAATCAATTATTTTAATCTGCGCATAAGGTGTGCAATTTGGTGGGCAATTTACCAGAGTGCTACTTAGAGTCATAAGTGGGTGCTAATTTGAAAAGACGCAAAGATGAAAAGATGGGAATTAAAAATAGCATCTTTTGAATTACCAGGTAGTTCCTTATCCATACTCTTTGCACATGGGTGCAATTTGTACTTTGCTTCATCAAAGTGTAACCAGTAAAGGCATGTGTATTTATGTATATCTAGTGTAAATATTCAATGTGGAGATCAATCGCTAATGTTCCTAAATCTTAAATTTGGCAAAGTTAAGGTCATTTTAACTATTGAAGGAAAGTATGCTAACACTGA